GGCCTTCAGCCGCAGGCGGGGAACGGGGAACGTTGGTTTCCTCCGTCACTGAGGCAAGCAAGCCTCATGTTAGCTTCAAGCTGCCTGGCTGCCGGCCACCATCTTGGCTGTCAGTTAATTTGCATATCTTGCTGATTAGCCAATGGGAAGGGTAGCGGTCATACGCCAATTACCATGTTTCTCTTTTATTAGTGTAGATGCAACAAACTGAAGTTGATACTATTATCATCAATTCCTTGCTGTGTTTACCTACATTAGAGTGCTATGCAAAGTTCTTGTCTCTATGGAAGGTGCGTATTGAAAACCTCTACTTATATCAGTGACATTTGTACAGCCAACAACCCTAGTTTCATTCTCATCCTATTGTTAAGGTGTGGTTCAGGCTACTCAAAACAAATTTCTTCTAAAGGGCCATGACTGCCGGGAGAACGGGGGCCTGAGACTTCTTGAAATTTGCTAATCACATCTGGTTTAGCTTTAGACATTTTCTGGGGTTTTGCCAGCAGCCACGACATTTTAATGGCTACAATAAACCTCAAAGCCTCATCAAATCTTTGCTGTATGTGTGAAAATTATGTCCTCTTCAATTAAACATTCAATCTAGGCTCACACCAAGGCCTTATGGAAAAGGCGGTGAAACCTGAATGGGGACGGGAGATGAAACGGACCGCCACGACTCTGGCCATCTTGCCAGATGGTATTTGGAAGAAAAAGAAATTCATTAGAGAACCAAAGGTCTGTATTTTCTTTAAATATTTACTAGGTACCTTTCATGTGTTAAAAACACTGGCATCCCTAAAGATTAGCAGGGATTTTTTTGTTTAAATATTCAATGTGTGTGGGGGAGTCCCAGTTTCCTCAACCGCCTTTATGGTACTTCCTTGGTGAAGTCCAATACAAAGAAGAAAAATAACTGTGATGATCAGTTTTCCTTCCTAGGGCAGCCCTTCCAGCTGCAGAAGTTTGATATCTCCTTAAAATTGACGGAGAAAAGTGTCAGTTGAGTACTGAGATCTGCAGTGACAGCTAGGATTTCCCTAGAAAAAGTAAGATACACCAAAGTGGGGAGCTTTGGGGGAACCCTTGCCTGTCCACTGTCTTCCTAATTCACTCTTCTCATCCCTTTTGTTACTTATCATCTAACACACTGGAGCGTCCAAGGGAGGTGGCCGAGCCAGGATGCCCAAAAGAGGAAGTCCCTGGAAGGAAGGCCGGGGAAGAGGAAAGAACACACACAGATCAGGCTTCTGTTCAAAAGACAAGAGGAGCAAGCAGACCCAGGGTGTTAAAGGGGCCATGAGCTGGGGGGATGGGCATTCAAAGGCAGCCAAGGAGTGAACAAACATGGGTCTTCGCTGGCTGCTACTGCTCACCTGCAGCCATCCTGGGGACTGGCTTGGGCCCTAATTCCACCCCTGGAGAGGGACAGAGGAAACTACTCCATGATGGCTTACTCAGCTTTACTCAAGTAAGAATCAAGCTCCTCATGTTATACAAGAACAAAACTGTCATTTTTATTTTGTTTTTGTTTGTTTGTTTGTTTGTTTGTTTTTTAGGAAAGGGAATAGAATAACCACAAGTCCACATATCGCATTCCTGAACAAAGCATTCATTTGGTTGAATTCATGCTCTCAACCACATCAACAGGAGGGGGGAAATGTCCACATGTTCCTTTAAAAATAATTTACAAGGTAAAAATATTCACTTGTAACCACCGTCCTTATTTAAGCAAGTTTATGCCCAAAGTAAAAACAAATGGCTTTCCCTGACACTCCGAGCAGACCTTGCCCCTTCACTTCCAGTTCCAAGCTGTTCTCTGTCTAAGACTTGGGTTTCTGAGCACTCTTTCACAATAAACATTTTTTGAATGTTTATTTTATGTCTTAGTGTAAAAATATTCCTGGTTCAAGCTCTTCATTTCCTCAAGCTCGCCTTTTGGCACTCTGGGCTCCATTTCCACATTAACACGCTCCCTAAATCCTCCACAGAGCTCTTCAGTTGGAGCTACACAAGCTCCAGCGCAAGTATTTATATTCTTGGACAAGGAGATGTCTCCACAGTGAAAACACAAGACTCTCGAAATGCCAAAGGAAAATTCCTGCCCAAGAGAAGCATATTTTCACCTTTTAAAAAAGCCCAAAGGGCTTTCAGAATATTGTTCTGAATAATTAAAAAATGTAAAATAAACTAAAATAGAATGTCTTGCCATCCTTATTAGACTCATATATATAAACCAAATATATAGGAACATGGGTGTGCGTGTGCATGTGCGTGTGTGTGTGTGTGTGTGTGTGTGTGTGTATGACAAGAAGAGGGAGCGGGTGTGGGAGCAGGGATGGAAGAGGGAGTGGGAGAGAGAAGGCAGCATAGTAAACTTGTTTAGAAAATGCATGAGTTTTAATCAGATAGAATTCAGTAAATCTGTTTTGCATCGCCTGCGTGAACATAACTTCTCTAAGCCTCATTTTTCTTATCTGTAAAAAGAAAGTTAGTATAGTTCCTGCTTTTAGGTTTGTTATAAGAATTATATGAAACCACAGTAAGCATCCAGTAAAGGGTTTAGGCTGTTAATATTATTATTATTAAAATTATACCTATTATATGTTGGGAAATGTAGATAAAACAAGATGTAGATATAACAAGTACTAACTACCACAGTAAAAGAGAGAGACATATGTAAGTCCAGTGCCTCCAAAAAGTGCCTAGTGATGGAACGCTTTGTGAGAGCTGTAGCATACCACAGCTGAACTCTGTACCCATTCCATTCAATGAGCCACACACAAGTAATCCTCTTAAATCATTTTTTAAAACTCTTAGCTATTATCATAACGGAATAGTTCCTGTTACCTTCCAGTTGCCTCTTCAGTTTTCTCAAGTCTTTGATGAGGTCTTCAAACTTGACTTGGGAAGCCAGAAAGAAATCTTGTGGTTCAGGCAGGGGGAAAATGCTCTTTTCTGTTCCTGCTTCCTAAAAGATATAGTGGAGAAAAGCACATTATACTTCCCAATTGTCACTTTCAGTTGAAATTCCAAAGCATTTCTTATTGAATGTTTGAATAAACATTGCAGCAACACTCCTCCGGGGTTCCTCAGTTTGGACTGGTTACTTTGAAGTGCTTTGGTGTATTTCACAACATCTTTTTGCTCATACTGGCATTTAGATTGGCTATGGCATGGGTGAGGTTCCATTTTGCCTCATGAATGAAAGAGAAAATTGTCAGGTATGTCCTGATCTTGGGCACTCTATGTCCGTGGAAAAGGGCATAGGAGGAACACATGAAAGTATTTAAATTAAAAGTCCCTGTTTGGGTTGCACATGGTAGCAATTAGAGAACTCAGCGTTGAGGTATGTCAATGGGTGTGAATTGGAAGGTACTGAGTAAGGCAGCACTTCAATGGAAGAAACAATCACCCTGCCTTACGCCTTTACCTACCTTCCTCTGAACCTTAAAGCACGCATGCACACATGTGTGTGTGTTGGGGGAGGATTGAATTCATATTTGTAAAAATTTTCCAAATGTTGTTTGGCTACTCTTACCACATATTTAACGTGGGCATGACTGGGTATAGTTTTTGACAAGCCCCACAACTATCCCTCAAAGAGCGCCTGAGCTGAGAAACTTCTTGAGGGACAAAACATTCATCAGGCACATTGAAAGATAAACTGAGCCTCAAATTTCTTTTCCAGTCTATCCGGCTTCTTCTGGGTTGTTTAATGTAGCTTCATATCTTGCTCATCTCAGACAATCCTCAGGTCTCTCCACATAGGCCACTTTGCCAGCTTTCCTTCACATTCCATCTTTCCTACTGCTATTAGGACTGGTTCCAGACTCTAAAACTGCTTTATAAGGCACTTTATGATCTGGCCTCTGTCTACATCTCCAGCCTTATTTCTACCTTCTCCTTATTTCTAACTCCCTTCCTCAAACTTTCTTAAAATAATAGGTCAGGTCATGGTCTCTTGCCTCTAGGCTTTTGTAAAACTTATATGAAACTGTCCCTTTTTCCAACCCTTGCCCAGAACGTCCTCATACCTTATTCATACTCATCTTTCAAATATCAAAACAGACATCACTTCCTCAAAGATTCCCCCTAAGTCCCAGCAACCAACTCTTGGTGTTTCCAAGAGCCCCTGGTATTTACCATTCTCACAGGACTTACCAACATTAATTTACAAATTGCCTGTTAGCTTGTAGTCTTCCCCACTAGACAGGAAGGCAGGAACTGTGCCTTGGTCTCCATATAGAATGTAACCTCTGGCCTCTCAATAAATTCTGTTTGGAAACATCACAGAAGAGCTACAAAACTCTGCTCTGGGAAATATGTACCTTCA